GATGGAGTTGAATGAAATACTGGTGATTGATTGAAACATAATGGAATCCCGAGAGGACACATGAGAAATGTGATGAAAGAACAAGAAAGAATCAAATCCCGTAGATAGATTAAATATACAAAGGTACCTACACCAAGTATCTCAGTCGATGAGTAGGAGTTACGGGATTTGATAGAGGGATCTAAGCACACAGTCGCATTCTGCCTTTGTGTACTAGGTAGATAGATGTAGATGTAGATGTAGATGTTCTCGTTGTGTATCTGTATTCTCTTTATTGTCTTCATTCTCTTCATTCTCTTCATAAGGTACTGGTGGCATGAATTGTATGTGTGTGTATTTGTGTATATATATGTATGTATGAATGAATGAATATATGTATACCTGCCTATATGTATCTATATGTATGTATACCCAGATATATATACACAATTGTCAGATAATAAAAGCAATCTCACAGGATACATGAATCCGTTATCAATTCTCCAATTATTCTCATCTATCCAATTACGATTCGCATATTTACTTTTTTTGTTATGGGGCACAGCTCTCCATCTCGTTATTAAATCTTTGATGCTGCGGGTATGGATCAATTGATGCAGCTACTTTTTGCATAGGAGCGAGCAGAGCTACCCTACCCATTTTACCCTTTACCCAGTGGTGCTCAGATCTCCTTGGACGACGGAACCTGACAAGTGTGAACCTAAGTACCCAGTAGATAGATGTTCTCCGTTCTCTCACATCATTCTACCTAACCTGGTTATGTGATTTTATTTGCTTTTTTTCCTTTTTCTCCTTCACATTTTAAACACTGACATTAACATTAACATTAACATTGACAGTGACAGTGACATTCACACACATTCACACACAAACACACACACACACACACACACACACACACACACACACACACACATTCTCCATCTATCCATTTTTATTCCTTTTGGGCTCGCTCTCCCCTCTCCTCTCTCCTCCTCTCCTCTCTCCATACCTATCTTTTTTTTTTCACTTCGCTTGGACTTGATATGTTGACCTATTTTTATTCAAGATGTCACAAGTCCCTCAGTCACCAACTACTACCACAAAGTCAAAACCAAGACCGCTATCATTTCATTCCCATAGAGTCGTTCATAACTCCTCCAAACTTCCAAGAGTACATGATGCGCCCGAGATAGTCACACAAATACCAACCGCATCCAAATCCAAACCATATCATCGCTCAACATTATCACAACCATCAGCTGACTCGAGTCTGGCGCCGGGTGGAAATACTTCTACTTCTACTTCTACTTTTCCTACAAATTCCAATATCAATATCAATTCCACTTCCACTTCCACTTCCACTTCCGCTTCCAATCCCAATTCCAACATGAATCTCGCTGGTGGTGCTGGTGGTGCTGAGCAGCTAAGCAACAAAAACAGCAACAATAGTAATAGTCATCTAAATCTGAAACTTAAATCTTCTAGTTTTGATTTAAAATTCACGGGAAACCATTCTACTATTGCGACCCCCTTTAGTCCAACAAATCAGAATAATAATAAGAAAGAACCATTTCGTACCCGAATATTGAGTTCATTCACTGGCAGTCCGGTTAGAGCAGCTTCACCTAAATCAGCATCATCGCGTCGAACATTATCTTATCCCACGCCAACGCCAAACAAACCTTCAGCCACGACTAATACTTCCACCAAACTTCAACACGAAACATCGTCAAGGATTGGCACCTCTGAAAAAAAAGCAAGGAACCTGTTAACGAACGCCAATGGAAAGAATGCAATAACGGCTGAAGTCGCAAAAGAAACTACTCCGACCATGTTATCCCAAGGCGCATCATATATTTCACAAACCACAAATTGGATCGCGGATCAATCTCATTTGGATCAATCTCCCTCTCCTTCAACATCCTATGCACCTCAAATATCATTGGAGAATAACCCATCACGTCCTGTAACCTTACCGCCAAGGGGTGTCACAAACAATAAAAGAATGGAACCAGATCTAGCTGAGAGGGAATCGGCATTGAGGAGTTTAGAGGGGCGGAACCCTCGGAGAGATTCACCAGATGAACGAAACTCCGATGAAGCGGATTTATTCTTACAGGTTGCGCAAGAGGAAGACGATTTGAACCGCCAAAAGAACCTTCCAGCCTTCAGTAGATTGGATTTTAAAAAGGTAATTATATTCTTATCTTTTCCTATCTTTACGACTCCAACTCGCATCAGAATAGTTACCATGATTGGCTTGAGATATCTAATTCATCAATAGTCCCGCATCGGCATGCGCCAATCGCTCCCTGCTCCTAACTTTCGTGCTTCATATCTTCGTCGTGAACCTGAGCAAGAAACAAAACCTACAATTCGTTACGCAGAGGATGCAGAAAGTTTACTGCGAGATTCAGGGGATAATTCATTCGCAAGGAGAGGGCCTCCTTCAGCGATCTCGACTTCGAACGAGCAAAAGAAGCGATCATTTGCAGCCACATCGCTGTCGACCCCTACAACTCCACGAACGAATAACCGAGAAGTCGATTCCGAACCACAGCCATATGCTGGACGACGACCATCTTTACAGGACCGAACAATCACTGCATACCGACAATCAAACTTGTCCAATTCGTATTCCGTTCCCCGAACCACTGCTTATCATTCTTCTCCACTTGTTGCGCAACCGATGGAGATCAGCGATCAACATGAAACACAGCGTGTAACAGAAGGCACTGCATCCACCGTGTCCACCACTGCACCTTCAACCGTTTGGGACGAATTGGACGATCTAAAATCGCGCATACATAGATTGGAACTGACGGGGAAATTACCCACCACATCTGGTGCAGCAGTCTCGCGAGCCACCCATGAGCGTCCTCCCACTGCGACCACAACGGAAACTACCATGTCGACATCACCTAAGCGTGGACGAGGCAATAGCATATCACCTACTGAAGCTCCCACTGTTGATATGTCTAAAGCCGAAAATCATCCTCTCCTACGGTCTGCTCTAATGAATTCTAAGCCTTTACTCGATCCCGAGATTTACAAGTCTTTAGAGGCTTCAGCAAATGATGCCTTGGCAATATCTGCCATGATGGGAACTTCTGGTCAACCTGGGCCTATATCAAGTTCCCAGTCAGTCATTGGTGGAGCACAACCTAACATTTCTGATCGACAAGTTCGTCGAAAAGCAGACAGTTTGTGTCGCAGCTTAACGGAGCTTTGTCTTTCATTGTCGGAAAGAAGATCAAACGATCCCGATACTACACTGACACAGATCCGACAAAATGGCCATGGTCAAGATACTGAAGTTCGACAGAGTATCGAGCCTGTCAGTCCGAGGCTACCTCCTTCTGGTGACGTAGCAAGATTAAAAGCAAGCCCAAGATCCTATAGTCGTCTCGAAGCCCGACGAAGCAGCCTTCTCGCAACAACTGCGTTACCAACCTTGAGATATCCACCACCTGAGAATACAACACCACAAAGTTTAGCTGCAGGACGTCGCACATCTTTATTACTTCGTAATCGACGCGCTGAAACCGAAGATCTCCAAGAAACAGTCGAGGCCCGATTTAGAGCACCTTCAAGGGCGAAGACAGAACTTGGACGCAGGGGAGAAATTCCACGAGACGAATTATCGCGTCATCCCCTACCCGACGACGATCCTAGATCTGGCGCAATCTCGTCATCATTAGCACTCAGGAGATCTCATACTACAGCCCTCAGTCCTAACAGGGTGGCACAATCTTCTTTACTCACTCAATCGACCCCCAGCAGAAGATATTATGAACGAACACCAGAAAGGGAAATTATTATAAACTCAAGCACGGGTGGCAGTGGCCGAAGATATCTTGAGCGAACTCCAGAGCGAGATACTACAAGCCTTTCAGGAAGACTGGCAGAAGAACGTGGGCAGAGAAAGGTGTCTGCCCCGTTAACATTCGCCGCTAGAAGCAGAGCTGGTAGCCTTATGAGAAGTAGGGAACCATTAGGCCCTTCGCAACACGGTGCTTATCAATAAATTTCATTTACGGTCTCATTTGTACAAAGAAAATATGGAGTTCTTTACGGTTTCGTTTCAACGCTTTTGCGAACAGGATTATTAGGGGGAGGATTTCTTTACAGTATTTTTGATTTTATCACCATAGGGAGAGAAACATTTTTTTCAAGATACCCTGGGTACATACGATGGCACGATTAGAGGGGTTTGAGGATTACATATCAGCGGGGTTACATATCAGCGAGAGGGTTGAGGGGTATACTCTCTAGGTACATATTGCTGCTTGTCTTGGGCGCGCGGGTTTTCCGCCTGAGCTTGGGAAATTTTGGGTTGCTCGCTTTATGTGTTTATACAATCACTTTGAATTGTTGCTGGATATGGGCTATTCGATTGGAATTCCGCTTTGGCATACAAGGAGATGGATCCAGGTGGATTGGTAGGAGTCTGGCATTGGAGGTGATAGGTGATAGGTGTCTATTTATGAATGTATTATTATTTTTATTCACTAGTGATAAATAAATGTAGAGTGTTCTTTTTCTTTCTTTGTCAAGGCATGATGGTGGCATTGTAGTATTTGCTTTTTTGGTGGTGACTGTGATGGTGATGGTGATGGTGACAGTGACTGAGATAGAATTGAATTGAATGTTGTAGGTATGTTGATAATGAAGTAAAGCCTAGGTATCTAGGTGCAAACAAATATTTTTGAGATCAACCTAAACGGTTGACAAAACCTTGTCTGATCAAAAGTATTCACTTCAAAAATATCACACTCTTCCTAGATTTTTTTCTCGAAATATTGAACATAAATACTAATCTGATCAAATACATCACACCTCAATTCGCCGCTGGCGCTTTCCTCCCTTCTTGCTGTGTTGTATACCTATGGTTGATAAGCGAATCTTTCTATCTACATAAATTTACCCCACCAAGTCAAGTGCTTTAGGTAGATCCATACATCCCATATGAGCTTTTTACCAATCCTTTACGTTTACTCACCCTTTGAGAATTATTGATGTACAAGCATTTTCTCATCAACAGCAGATCTAAAAAATTATTACTTGAGAAAACGAGATATAAATTCTTTGACGGGGATAGGATAGGGACACAGAGTCCGAACTGGGTAAGAAGTAAATCTTACAATCTTGGTTTCGGACTTGGGGTGCGTGATCGCGATCGCGGGATTATTAAATTGTATACGCATTCACAGAGAGGAAGAGGAGAGACTTTACCAAAGATGGATAATATCAGTGCGAGCGACGTGGCGAGGTTGGCGGGAGAGGGGGAGGTGGGGGAGGTGGTGGAGGGGGGAGGAGGGGGGAATGTGAGGGGTGGAAAGGGTGGAAAGGGGGGGAGAGGGGGGAATGTGAGGGGTGGAAAGGGTGGAAAGGGGGGGAGAGGGGGGAAGGGAAGAGGTGCTGCTGCTGGGGGAAATGAAAAAAATAGAGAAATGCTGGTTAGTAAGGCGTTGTCTAAGTTGTTGAGACATGCTGCGGAGAGTGAGGGGGTGATGTTGGATGGGGAGGGGTTTGCTAGGTTGGATTTGGTGGTGAGTTTTTGTTTTTGTTTTTCTTTTTGTTCTGGTTCTGGTTCTTCTGTTCTTTGGGTGGTGGAAGAGGGAATTGATAGGGAGAGTCGAAGGGGAGAATAGGAAGGGATCATATGAGAAGATGGAGAAAGAGGAGAAGAAGGAAAATCACGTGGATATCCTCAATTTTTCATCAACATCACACATCACATTTATTCTCAGGAAACACAGTAGCTCACCAATCTCACAGATGCAATGGCCTCGTCTCAAATCTCTCAAACCAACGTTTGCCGATATCCGCACCGCCGTCACTGATAATGCCAAGCAGCGTTTCTCTATGGAACCCAATCCATCCCTTCCAGAACCACCTTCTCCTTCTTCTGAAAACCCAGGGGATTGGATGATCCGTGCTAATCAAGGTCATTCCATCGCCATTGATTCCGCGGCGCTACTGGTTCCCATCACGCTCGAAGCGGGGAATGTACCGCAAACATGTGTGCATGGGACTTATTTTGCTTTTTACGAAGAGATTGTCAAAAGTGGAGGATTGAAGAAGATGGGGAGGAATCATGTACATTTTGGGACGGGGGTTCCGGAAGATGGGGGAGTGGTGAGTGGGATGAGGGGAGATGCGGAAGTGTTGATCTATGTGGATGTGAAGAGGTGTTTGGAGGATATACCGGAGATGAAGTGGTGGGTTAGTGAGAATGGGGTGGTGTTGACGGAGGGGGATAAAGATGGGGTGGTAGGAACAAAGTTTTGGAAGAGGGTTGAGGGGAGGAGGGAGGGGGGTTTGTTGTGGGAAGATGGGGTTAAAGTGGCGGAGTTGGAGGAGGGGTTGAGGAATAGGAAGGCGCCGATGGGGAAGGGTGGTAGTGGTGGTAGAGGTGGAAGGGGTGGAGGAAGAGGAAGAGGAAAGGAAGGGAGGGGTGGTGGTAGGGGAGGTAAAAGGTCCGATGGAAATACGGAGATTAGTATTGATGAAACAAAGCCTGTAGAGGAGAGCTAACGAGATTATTCTATAACTGAATAAATCCAATATAACTCCAAACATCACCTCTACACATCATTTATAACCCTTTCATGCAACAATAGTATGTATGATAGTGCAATTACACTAATCATAATAATCATCGCAGCTTTCAACTTCACATTACTTACCTACTTATTATATGTCTTTTAGTTAAATATTCGAATATTCACCCTCTCTCTTTCTTCGCTATTATATATATATACATATATATCGTTATATGTAGAATAGAATCAATCCCAAAGTATCTCTCTCCTCGTATTTATTTTCTAAATGTATTCCATGTTCTTGTTTCTCCTATATATTACTTTTTTCTATTCTTCATTCTTTTATTCTTCATTCTTCTATTCTTCATTCTTCTATTCTTCATTTTTATATCCTTCATTTTTTATATCTCTTATTCTCCCATCCTTATTCTCCCATTCTTATTCTCCCATCCTCATACTTTTCTTTTGGGTGTTGTATTCTGTGTATTTATTGTACGTATTTCTTGTAAATATTTTTTGTAAATATTTCTTGTATATCTCTCTCTTATATCTCTCTCTTATAAAGCACTTTTAGATACCTCTCTTGTATACCTCGCCCTTCTCCTAAATACCACATCTACTCCCGACTGGAGAATTAAAGGAGTAAGAAAGTAACCCCCTAAAGACCTAAAACCATAAAAGCCTAAAAACATAAAAAGATACATGAAAAAACAGAAACACGAAGGGGACTACACACACACCGAATTAAAACAAACCCAAAACCACAACCAAGATCAAAACTAAGCCCAAACCCAAACATAAATCCCAATCTAAACTCGAACTCGCGTCTACTCAAGAACCAGCATCAGAAACATTTTAGAACCTAGGTCAGAGTTGGAATACTTGGTATAATTTTTGAAATTGATGGGTTTGATGTATATATACAAATAAGAAATCCATCGCTTTGAATACCTAGTATTAAATCAAGTGAAATTTATTATATCCTAAGCTATGGAATATTGATCGTTATGATGATCGTAATAATGATAGTAGTAGTAATAGTAGTAATAATAGCAGCGGCAATATTGAATGAAATCAAGATGGTGATATTATTCAGTATACATGTGTGCACCTAGGTATCCAAGTATCTCATGTTTTTCTTACATCAAGTAAGTATTAAGATTTAGAATATCTATTTAATATTTGATATTTGATATTTCATTACAGTTTGTACAGAATATGAGATATGAATAGTGTCTCAGTTTTGGAATGATATAGAGAGAGATATATGAGGTACGAGGTAGTCTATGAGATAGTTCTTATAGAAGTAAATAAATGGGATCGATGCTAGTACTAACTTCTCAAGTAAATATACACAGTACATACACATTGAGTCTTTGAAAGGGGAGATATATGGCCGAGAAGATGATAAGATGCTGTAGTAAGTGTGTTCAAATACTAGAACTTAGTTTTGAGTTTTGGATCAACGTGAGGGGATATTCAAGTAATGACCTTATCATTATGTATATACCACATACATAACCCCATCTACCCACCACTATTCCCTTCTTTCTATTATTCTCTCCGCCCTCCTCCCCTCGCTTCCCTTCACCTCCATCTCCACCTCCCATCAACTTCTCGCTCCCCACTTTCACCCCCTAAGCATCAACAAACCAAGCACCATCCATCCGTCCACATTCCGCTATCCCTTCAAAAATCGTACAAGTTTCATCTTTATTACTAAACAGTCTATAAATACCAATAAACATCTTCCAGAAATTAACCCCCCCGTAAAAGTATCCCCCATACAGAACTATTGATAAACGATCAAAGACCGCAATCATCCGATTCTCCTTCGTATATCAATGGTGAAACATTTCAACCAACTACCCATTCGCCCCGCTTGGACGAATGATAGATAGCTTGATATATGCGGGTGGTGAGAGGAAATTCTATAGCACAGACGTGGGGATTGTGAGTACGGCAGGGTAGAAGCAAGTGGATGCAAGCGAATGAAATGCAAGATTGGGCAATGGATGGCGCATGAGAGATTTGAGGAAAGGCTGTGGTGGCGATAGCAATGGTGATTATGCATAAACAATAAGGAGTCGAGGGAGCCAAAGAAAACAAAAAGCAAAATGTCAAAGTGTTGCATGTCAACATCCATGGTCCCGAGGGTGGTTTGCAATCTATCTAGTGAGGCTCCAAAAACAAATCAGGTTGGGATTATCTCATAAATCGATCAAGATAAAAATTTCGATGCATCGAATTAAATCCCTGATTTCATTCATCTCGAATTCAGGGTCCTATCAAAACCACACTCCCCACGGGATTTTGTTCCTAAAACATTCGTCACTAAAGTAAGCATACCACTAGTTGCCGATCATTCACCTCACCGGATCTAGAATTTGTGCTTGCCGACTTGATTCAAAAATGTTGATCATTGCGTCACGGTCTTCACCGAAAAAGAAAAGAGAGTACATCTAACGATGTGAAACAATTGATACTCGTCATTCCACTGAGAAACAAAGTTCAAGATTGCGTGGACGCTTCATATGGAAGGAAGATGGAGAAAGGAAGAGGAGTATTTGAGCGGCGTCATCTTGAAGCTTATTGTGAATAAGACCAAGTTTTGAAATCAAAAGTAGTTGTGGATATCGATCTGATTACACATGAGCTTGGCCATTTTAATGGCTTTGTGATGTTGATAGTAATTCTCATTGGAGTGTACTTGTAGTTTCTCTAGCAACCACTTTCATTATCACCATATGAGTCCACAGCTCAGGGACATTTCGAATACTGTATTACATATGCCTTCAATTCAACAATCCAATGCACGTACTTCGACTCTACGATAGATAGATATTGCCCATCGGGTATAACGTAGTTTAACACCGAGTGGCCCATATCACCGAGTGGCCCACTTTCACCTCAATTTATACCTTTCTTTTTCAATATGCATTTTATCAATAATCTATAATAAATTTGAATAATCAAGAAGCTTATATATTTTTTACTATCGAATTTATTTATAAAGATAAAAAACTAAATATTCGAAAAGTAGTTATATTTTATAATATCCTTTATATAACTTTTTAATATATAATAAAAGATTTTTTATATATATAGAAATTCAAATTAATAATTATAAGATTATAAAATTAGAAAAAGAAGTGATTATTCAATATAAATTCAATATAAATTCAAAAGGATTTTTATCAAAATTAAAAAATATGAAAAATATAATGAATTATATTTTTAAATTAAAAAATACGAAATATATTAGAAAGCTTTAGGTATATCAATTTATAAAGTATCAAATCGAATTAAAAATATATTTTAATTATATTTATAATTTTCAAAAAGCTTTTTATAAAAATTCTAAACTTTTTAAAAAGTAATTTTGATTAATTGCAAATATACAAGCAAAATATAGTATTTTAAATAAAGATTTTTATAATTTTAACAAAATAGACTTTATAATAGAAATTATATATATAGTAATAATAATAATTAATATTAAATAAAATAATAGAAACAAAACAATATAACTAAATAATCAAAAATAAATTATAATAATAATATATAGAAATAAAAAGAATAAAACTATTCTTTTATTTCTAATAATTTAAAAACAAATTTATCTCTTTAATTAATATATCAAAACAAATCTTTTTATAAGATAAATTATTAAATCTATATTTAATAAATATATAAATAATAAAATAAATTTAGAATAATTGAAATATTATAATAAATATATTAAGAATTGAAAAAAAAGCAAATATTGAATATTAATATTAAATAAATATAAAAATTATAAATTAATAGTTTTTTAAATATATTATAAAAAGAATAATATTTATATTTATTATTATATTTAAATTATTTAATTTAATTATTTAATATTAACTATTTTAATAATCTAAAACATTTATATAATAATTAAATTAATAGATTTATTAAAATATATATTAATTATATTTCAAAAATTGAATTCTTTATAACTTTTAAAATTATATATAAGAAATCAATTACTTTTTAGAATATAAAATCAGGATTTCAAGAAATAGATTTAATTTCATTTAATTCTGAAATTATATTTTCAAAATTAGATATTCGAATTTATATATTTACTCTTTTCTTTTTCAATCTAAATTAATAAATCTTTCAAACTTTTTATAATTCAATTAAAGCTTTTTTTTAATTAATATTAGTTAAATCTCAAATAACTTATTATCAATTAAGCTTTTTTATATCTATATTTGAAACTATATTAACTTTAATTAAAGGTATAAAGGAATTAGTTTATAAAAATACACTTTTAAATATAAAAATTTATATATTTTGAATAATAAATAAAATATTAAATAAATATTGATATATAAAAAAAACTTAATTATATTAAAAAAGAGTATTTATTAAATAAAAGGCTTTTAATATATTATTTTAGTAAAAGATTAATATTTAAATTTAATATAATAAATATTAAAAAGAAAGAAATTTTAATAGGAAAGTATTTTCTAATTGATATTATAATAAATATAGAAAAATAGGATATAATATAAGAATTTATTAAAATAATGTAATAAATTCTAGATTATTAGATTCTTAATAGTTTTAATCAATTGATTTAATTGTTATTGAATAATATAAATTTGAAAGTATAAATTGAGGTGAAAGTGGGCTATTTGGTGATATAGGCTACTCGGTGTTAAACTATGTTATCCTTGATTTGATCATTTTTCGGATTCAAGATTCTTAATTTCCGATCCCCACATCATCCCGAGGCCTACTTAATCTCAAGACTAAGAAATAAAAGGGTGTGTCTAAGCACAAGAAATCACGCTAATTGATATCTCGAGAACCGCTTGGTCCCTTTCCCGTCGGCACCAAAGCGACCGAACTTGTCAACTGGAGTCTTGAGTTAGGATTGCACTGGCAACTACTGGTCCTCAAGTTTGCTAGAGTTCCTAGACACTTTGACCAATTGAATAGACAGCTGCGTTGGCA